AGGGCCAGTGTAGACAAGCCCTAGGTAATGCTGCCAATTTTTGGTGACCCTTTTATAGTGCATTAATTTAAAATATTTAATATGTAATCACTTACTTAGTCAATTTATGTGTGTGAATTCTTATGTATCAGAACTGAGGTGGATTTTGTCTTTTCTTAAATGAATTTCATGTGTCTTTCATTATGGGAATGGTCATGCAGCAATGCGGATCTGCTGAATTTTTACAATTTGTTTTGATGAACCGCAAGAGCAAATACAGCAATATGCTTGACATGTTTTTGACAGGCTATTAGGGACACTAAGTACTTCCTAACAAGATCAGTAATGATATCTAGGATAACAATATAATGCATACTTCATGCACTGGATTTTTCAAACAAGCCCTAAATGCTGTGGTTCAGTCGCTGTGCAACACCACTTGGCTGGTGAATGTGAATGTGTATCCACTAACGGAAAGAAGTCTAACCACAGAGATGTTTTTCTTTTTATACCGGAAACACCTGCCTTCCGAAACAAAATAAAATGAGTTTCTTCATATTTTCTGTAGAAAAAAAAGAAGAATTATTTTTGTGCCACTTCTTTTTAAATTAGATTCAAATGGGATGGTTGATTTAAACCAATTGCCCCCATAGAAATACTTCAGCCAAGAAAAAAAAGAGGAACAATCTTTTCTATAGCAGGCATGCAGACTGTCATTTCGCATTCTGAATAAATATTAATAGGAACTAGCCATCCCCTGCCACATGTTGCTGTGGCCCAGTCTGTGTATATGTGTTTGTATATATTTGTGTATATGTATATATATGTGGTTTTGCTCATGCGTTGCAATGCATTTTTTGCCTTTTTGGGTCTCTTCTGCTGTGTTTTCAGTGTTTTTATGAGTGCATGAGAGGTGTCTTGTGTCCGAATTTGGTCTCAATTCATCCAGTAGTTTTTGAGTTATGTTAACCCCACAAACGAACATTACATTTTCTATATATATAAAAATGCTCTGTGCATAGTGAGTGACATCATAGCTCAAAAACCGCTGGACAAATTGCCACCAAATTTGGCCACAAGACACCTACTACCCCACGGACTGACCATCACTCAAAAATTGGTTTTGTCATTTGGGAGTTGTAGTTGCTGGGATTTATAGTTTACTTACAATCAAAGAGCATTCTGAACGCTACCAATGATGGAATTGGGCCAAACCTAGCACACAGGGTTCCCATGACCAACAGAACACACTGGAAGGGTTTGGTGGGCATTGACCTTGAGTTTGGGAGTTGTAGTTCACATGCATCCAGAGACCACTGTGGACTCAAACAATGATTGGCCTGGACCAAACTTGACACAAAAATTCCATATGCCTAAATATGAACACAGATGGAGTTTGGAGGAAATAGACCTTGACATTTGGGATTTGTAGTTACTGGGATTTATAGTTCACTACAATTAACGAGCATTCTGAAACCCACAAACAACAGAAATGGGGCAAACTTCCCACACAGAACCCCCATGACCAACAGAAAATACTTAAGGCCATCCAGTCCAACTCTCTTCACCAGGGCAAGAAAACTTAATCAGAGCTCTTCTTACAAAGAGCCATCCAGTCATATAGATAGATAGATGGATATGATTCTCACACACACACACAGATATAGTATCACAGATTCAAAAGAGACCCTTAAAGAAGGACTATGACATGTTGCATATTCCAGAGTAGGCAAACCAGACACTCTCCACATCAACACTGACAAAGAAACACCAAGAAATACTGTTTACTCACAAGCATAAAGGAATTACATATATTAGAAACCAACACTTTCTCATTACTTTATTTTCCAGATCACCAGACTGGGCCACAGCAATGCATGGCAGGGGACAGCTAGTGTATATATATGTGGTTTTGCGCATGCGTTGCAATGCATTTTTTTGTTTTTTGGCTTTTTAAGTCTCTTCTGCTGTGTTTTTAATGTTTTTATGAGTGATGGTCGCTCATTGGCGTGAGAGGTGTCTTGTGTCTGAATTTGGTCTCAATTCATCCAGTAGTTTTTGAGTTCTGTGAATACCACAAAGGAACATTACATTTTTATTTATATAGATGAGGAGGAAGAAGTATCATGTAACCTTGATCACCCCACTGCTCTTTTGTCAGGGCTTAGGATCCGGTTTTATTGAACTGAGGAAGATTTATTTCCAAATAAGCCCACAATGGATTGGGCAATATCATTTTCATCTCAGCACACACAAAACACATTTTCTTAGATACAGGTTGAAATGTCAGCATCCACTCAACAGTTTTTCAGCTGGCTCACACCACACACCCTAAGTCTGTTCACATAAAGTATGACATTTGTAAAAAAAAAAAATTAATTACTGGAAACGAAGATTGCTATGAATGCTTTTTTAACGGTAGACTCTGGTGACCGCCAGGATTCAAATTCTACACTTTTTGTTTGGAGTCAGTTCTTGATGAGAGAAAAGGCTGAATGTAAACCTCAGGGCTTTTGGGCAGACTGTGTCAGTTGCTTCTCTTTGCAAAGATTAATTGATTATAATTAGGATGATGAAATTTGTGACAGCACTTAATTTCCAATTGGGATAATATGTTTTGTCTATGTATATATGAGGGCCCTTCTGATATCAAGCTAAGACCCCTCCCCAGAAAAAAATAATTATGAATTATGACAGGGTGCTTTATTTGGACCATGGTGGGAGATTCAAAACTTGCTGACTGGGAACCCAAAGTCCCAATGGCTTGCTGGAGGAGGACTGAGGAAGACTTGCAGCAGCCACCAACTCCAGAAGATGCATTGTCTCCAACCCCCTTTTATGAATTACAAGTAATCTATATAAATAAAAATGTAATGTCCGTTTGTGGGATTAACATAACTCAAAAACCAATTGACTAATTGACACCAAATTCAGGCACAATACACCTATCAGGCCAACGAGTGACCATCACTCATAAAAACACTGACAAACACAGCAGAAGAGACTTAAATAGCAAAAAACAAAAAAACAAAAAAAAAACATTACAACGCATGCCCCAAATATCAGATTTTACCCAGAAACCCACAGCCTCACATAATCCTGATAAGCTAACAGTTCTACTGGAAATTGATAAGAACAGGCGTCATTACAATGTCGAAACATGCGCAAAACCACATATATACATGCGCAAAACCACATATATACACATATATACAAATATATACACACATAAATACACACACAAAACACATATACACAGACAGGGCCACAGCAATGCATGGCGGGGATGGCTAGTCCCTTAATAAATTGATATCCCGGTGACCTTTCGCCCTCATACTTGCTTCACTGTAGACTTTATTATCTCCTTTTGCCTCTCTTTACTTTAACAGCCCACCCCAGTTACCAAGTGGCCCCTCAGTCCCGAGCAGGGCTTCTCTCCCTTCTTTTTCCCATGACCACTACTCCCCTGGCACATTCCACCCAACCTTGGGTCAACCTCCAAACCCCAAACACCCCAACATCTGGAACCAGGTTTCCCGGTATCCGCAGATCAGGCAATACAGGGATTCCTTATGTGTATGTTTCAATATTTTATGTATTATGATTATATGAAATATCCTTGGAGCCATGAAGTCACTGCCACAACCTTGGTGACCTTTTCACTGGCACTCTCTGACCTGGGATTTCCCATGTGTCTTCCTGGTCTTCACCTTAACAAAGGACTCAAGCACACATCATCTTCAGAATCAACCCATCATTATTAATTCCAGTTTGAACTGACTATATGAAGGATGACCACAACTTGTATTGGGCTAGACTACTTTTGTGTGGCCATATGATAATGAAGGACTGATTTTTTTCTGGCACCCTTCCTGGTGTTTGGAAGGTCCTGCCACTGCTTTTCCTGATTACCATTCCCCCTTTCCCAGGATCGGATTCCTTAACCCTATCATTCTGGACAGCATGTTTAAAGGGTCAACAATGGACATAGGCATCGTGTCTAGTGAGTGACCCACCCAATGGGTCACTCACTAGACAATCACCAAAACAATAATCCTTAGGGGCCTGATTTTTTTTTGTCGTGTCAGGAGCTCCTGTTGTGAGAGAATTGGCCATCTGCAAGGACATTGCCCAGGGGATGCCCGGATGATTTGATGTTTTATCATCCTTGTGGGAGGCTTCTTTTATGTCCCCGCATGAGGAACTGGAGCTGATAGAGGGAGCTCATCCGCCTCTCCCCGGATTTGAACCTGCGACCTGTCGGTCCTCAGTCCTGCCGGCACAGGGCTTTAACCCACTGCGCCACCGGGGGCTCCCAGGGAACTGATGACCTTGCTTTGTTAGTCTTGAGGTTGAGACACTATTGCCCATACACAAATCCATATTTTTATTTGTTTTTCCTGACCATCCTGCTCCCTGCCTGCCATTGGAGAGCCGAAATCTGCATCAGAAGTGGGGAAAGCTCTCTGATTGGCTGCCGGGTGCCGCAGCCCCTCCACGTGGAGGGAATCTTCCTAGCTGCTTGCGACATCAGAGCTGGCTCCACCAATCAGCACAAAGCTAGCACCAACTGGATGCATTAATAAAATAATGCATTAATAAAAATAATGCATTAATAAAAATAATTTAAAAAAGAAGAATGAGGAGAGAAGCAAAAAAGTACTGGAGGCTGAAACAAAGCATTTAAGCTAATAAGCAGGTATTTCTCTACTGTTTGGACCAAGCTGATTTCCCCTTACTAGTGTTTGACCCGCACTGGAATGAATTCTAGCTGGATCGTTTTGTTCACAGAGGGAAGAAACTTGAGCATGTGAAGCTGAGAAGAATGGTTTCCTCATTACATCCCTTCACCTTTTTACTTGGCAAAGAAGTTTCAGATTACCAGACTTGCAAAGGCTCAGAAAGATGGAGAAAAGGGTGGGCGACAGCAGTTGGCACTCTGGAAGACAAGGCAAACTGGCTAAAGCTGGGATAAAAACAGAGTACATATAGTAGTTGATTCTCTTTGCTGTTTTCATTCATTGTGGGTTGGCAAGAAGATGAATATTTTCCTCGACAGAGCAGTTTAAACTTGTCTCCACCATATCCAGGAAAACACATTTTGCTACAATGAACGTCAACCTGGTCTTCTATATCTCCTGTCTCATCTGCATTTTCACAACCGGAACACTTCATGGTAAGAGACTTTATTTCTCTATAGCAGGATGTATGAAAGTAGGTTTAGGGGAAGACGTGTATGGCTGTGGAATCTCACCGAAGGGTCTGTTGTAATCTAGGGTTAAAACAGAATTTAGCAGAACATGGAAAAGTAAATTTTGAAGGATGACCACTCTCAGAATCCCCCAGCCCAGGATTTTGAGGTCGTAGTGCAACAAAACTAATTTCTTTTATTTTTAATGAAGGAAAATTGACATTTGGGAATTGAGAAAGGGATTTGAAATCAGTTAGAATATGTAATGCAGCCATGCCAAAAATTATGTTTTTTTAATAAACTGTCATCTCAGATTTTCAAAACATTTCTTAATGCACCTTATCTATTTTTATTTATTATTATTATTATTTTAGTTTATTCATATGCTGATTACAGAATTTTATCTCCACAAACAAGTACAGCTTATTTATCAGCAAGTGTTGCAAACTTGAAAAACTTGCCATTCTCCTGTGGGATTTTAAGGAGAAATATCTGAATTGGAATTAATTTGATTACAATTAAGGACAATGATGTCCACATATTCACAAAATTAGCAATCCTAGCATGCATGTGTTACCACTACAGCTTTTATGAATAACTAGTTTGATTATTCTGCATGCCGTTTAAACTTTAATTGAATTTTTACCAATCTGCAATTTGATGTTTACGTTTATTGATTGGTTTTTTTTCTACTTGGATTTCTGTTTACATTTGTTTCAATTAAGGATTTCTCTTAATGTGTCAGCAGGGGCAGCTCAACCCATTATGCAAAGTAAGCATTTGCAGAATAGTTGATTTTACCCAGGAGCGCTCTTGAGGTGCTCTTGGGGGAAAATAGACCTTGACATATGCGAGTTGTAGTTACTGGGATGTATAGTTTACCTAACATCAAAGAGCATTCTGAACTCCACCAATGATGGAATTGAACCAAATATGGCACACAGAACTCCCATGATGAACAGAAAATATATATCAATGATTGGTTGGGGGGGGGGGGCAAAATACTGTTTGCTTACCGTTGAAAATTACCTAGGGCTGCTTCTGTGTGTCAGATTAAGTGAATATTAGTTAAAAAAAACCAAAAAAAAAAAACCAGTTATGCCCTAATAATAACTGTTGTCCTCAAGGAAAGAAAATGTTCTTTTTGAATTATTTGTTTAGTTATGCTGCAAAAGACTAATGCGAATAAACTACTGAAAGTTAGATTCTTGCAATAATTAGATAAAAAGACAATCTCCACTTTTGAAATACATACACTAAACAGATTTGTTTTGAATAGGTGCTGATGCAGCACAAGGGAAGTATGCCCAACAGCTCTTTAATGAACTTTTCCAAGACTATTCAAATGCTCTCAGACCAGTGGAAGACACAGACTCAGTTTTGAATGTCACTCTTCAGATCACACTTTCCCAAATAAAAGATATGGTAAGTATAGCAATCAGGATGTTACCAGTAAGGCTGTTGTTGTTGTTGTTGTTGTTGTTTATCTTCAAGTCATTTCTGACCTTAGCGACACTAAGGCAAACCTATCACTAAGTTTTCTGAGGCTGAGAGTGTGTGACTTGTGCAAGGTTGGATTTCCATGGTTGAAAAAGGATTCAAACCCTGTCCTCCAGAATCACAGATCCATGCTCACACCACACTGTACAGAAATTATTTTTTAACAATGAGAAAGATAGCAATCTTGCTTGATAAATTTGAATTCCAAGGGCTTGAGGCAATTGATACATATCCATTAATCCATGTTTAATGTAAACTAGCCGTCCCCTGCCACTTGTTGCTGTGGCCCCGTCTGATGATCTGGAAAATAAAGTAACGAGAAAGTGTTGGTTTCTAATATATGTAATTTCTTTATACTTGTGGGTAAACAGTATTTCTTGTTCTTTCTTTGTCAGTGTTGATGTGGAGATTGTCTGGTTTGCCTACTCTGGAACATGCAACATATAATTGTCCTTCTTTAGGAGTCCCTTTCAGATCTATGATACAATCTCTCTCTCTGTGTGAATCATATCTATCTATCTATCTATCTATCTATCTATCTATCTATCTATCTATCTAATCTATGGCTGGATGGCTTTCTGTCAGGAGGGCTTTGATTATGTTTTCTTGCCCTGGTGAAGGGAGTAGGACTGGGTGGCCTTAAGTATTTTCTATTGGTCATGGGGGTTCTGTGCGGGAAGTTTGCCCCAATTCTGTCGTTAGTGAGGTTCAGAAAGGTCTTTGATTGTAGGTGAACTATAAATCCCAGTAACGACAACTCCCAAATGTCAAGGTCTATTTCCCCAAACTCCATCTGTGTACATATTTGGGCATATGGAATATTCATACCACGTTTGGTCCAGATCCATCATTGTTTGAGTCCATAGTGAACTACAACTCCCAAACTCAAGGTCAATGCCCACCAAATCCTTCTGGTGTTTTCTGTTGGTCATGGGAGTCCTGTATGCCACATTTGGTTCAATTCCATCATTGGTGGAGTCAGGGGCGGCTCAACCCATTACGCAAAGTAAGCATTTGCAGTATAGTTGATTTTGCCCAGGGGCATTCTTGAGGCTCTCTTGCAGGAAAATAGACCTTGACATGTGCGAGTTGTAGTTACTGGGATGTATAGTTTACCTAAAATCAAAGAGCATTCTGAACTCCACCAATGATGGAATTGAACCATATATGGCACACAGAACTCCCACGACGAACAGAAAATATATATCAGTGATTGGTTGGGTGGGGGGGGGCAAAATACTGTTTGCTTACCATTAAAAATTACCTAGGACTGCCTCTGGGTGGAGTTCAGAATGCTCTTTGATTGTAGATGAACTATAAATCCCAGCAACTACAACTCCCAAATGACAAAATCATTTTTGAGTGGTGGTCACTCCTTGGATTAGTAGATGTCTTGTGTCCAAATTTGGTGTCAATTCGTCCATTGTTTTTTGAGTTATGTTAATCCCACAAACAAACATTACATTTTTATTTATATAGATAAATAAATTTTATTGATTTGCCCTGAGGCCATATCAACATATTTTTATGTCGATAAGAAATAGTTTCATATATTTTTGCCAGGTGATAATTGATTTTACTAGGCTTCAGCTCTTCAGTAATAAACTGGCTGATTTCTCTTTTCCACTATCTCTTTTTCTCTTTCCTTCACACACCCAGATACAAAGAAGTAAGTGATTGCTATCAATTCTGTGGTAATAATAATACACTGTATTTATATTCCACTTCATCTCCCCAAGGGGACTCAGAGCGGATTACAGTATACACATATATAGGCAAACATTCAGTGCCTTTTATACAGTGAACAACAATGAAATACAATACTGAATATTGTGTCAGAATAAGAAACTCAGGTTTTAAAAAATGTTTTATTGAATATATTAAATACATAAACACATACAAAACTAATAATACAGAAAAATCTAACAACACAACAAATCACAAAAAAGAAATAACTATCCATAGTATTCACTTTTCAATCCACACCTTTTTAAAATGCTCCTTGTATTGATCACAGACACACAGACACGTTTAGATTACTGCAACACTCTCTATGTGGGGTTGCCTATGAAGACTGCCCGGAAGCTCCAACTAGTCCAACGAGCGACAGCCAGATTACTAACAGGAGCGGGGTACAGGGACCATACTACTCCTCTGTCGCGCCAGCTCCACTGGCTTCCAATTAGCTTCCGAGCACAATTCAAAGTGCTGGTGTTAACCTATAAATCCCTAAATGACTCCGGCCCAGTTTACCTGTCCGAACGGATTCTCCCCTATGAACCATCAAGATTGTTAAGATCATCTGGAGGGGCCCTGCTCTCGGTCCCACCAGGCTCACAAGGGTGCCTGGTGGGGACGAGGGACAGGGCCTTCTCGGCAGTGGCCCCTCGGCTCTGGAACTCCCTCCCACTGGAGATTAAAACTGCCCCTTCTCTCCTGACTTTTAGAAAACAGGTGAAAACCTGGCTCTGGAAACTGGCATTTGACGAGTGAGTCAATAACTCGTGGCTATATGGATGGATGGTGATGAACAAGGATTTTATTGTGATGACTTGGCCATTGTAATTATATGATTGTATTTTTGGTATTTTAATGTGTTAGTGTATTACGGAATGTGATGTTTTTAAACGATTGCTTATGATATTATTGTTGGAAACCGGCCTGAGTCCCTCCACGGAGGTGAGAAGACCGGTATACAAAAGTTCTAAATAAATACATACATACATACATAATGAAAAAAGGCCATATTTGGGTGGGAATACACATAGTTTTCAAGTAAAAGTTCCCAGGTTTGCTTCCCAGAATCTCTCAGTAAATCTGGAAAATATTCTACTTTAAAGTCATTGTTGGTAGTGGCGCTGTAGCTAACGCTAACCTCGATGCCCGACTGGTTCAAGTTGGTAGAATCCTCTGTTTAAGTTTATACTGTCCTTCTATCATGCCTCAGGATGAGAGAAACCAAATTTTGGCAGCTTACCTGTGGATTCGACAAAGTTGGTATGATGCCTTTCTGAAATGGGACAAAGACCAATATGATGGGTTGGACTCTATTCGGATTCCCAGCAATCTTGTATGGAGACCAGACATTGTCCTGTATAACAAGTAAGTGTGATAGGAAACAGGTGACCAATGTTCAGACCAAAAATCCAAACTTGGAGAAATTGGCCACAGATTAACCCAGCTAGTTTTTTTCCCAAGCTCTTCAAGAAATTTGAATGGCACAGATGGGCCATCCTGAAATAATATTTGTGATTCTTGGAGAGAAGGGAATGCCACAAGAAATAACTAATGATAACTACAGCATCCTGAAGATATTGCTCCGCCGACTTCAGTCTATATTACAATACGAGAGCAAAAATGCTCTGATCTTTCTGTTAAAAAAGATTAATCTGTCAGCAGAGAATTTGCCTGAAGCCTTAACATTTAAACACGATGGGTTTAGCATGTGCTGGTGAAATCATAGATGAGGTGAGATGTGAACTAAGCACAAATCAGTCTAAATCACTTTTGATTTCTCATGTGCACGCATGAAGCTCTTCTTTATCCAATGTTTGTTTGCGAATGTACTTTCATTGGCTAGAATGCTCATGGGTGTAACGAATGCCTCTGTTTTCTCTTCCTAACAAAAAAGCAAGTGGCACCATAAATGTTGCCCATGGAGGATTGTATTATCTTATATGGGAACTTGTTATCCTCTGGATTTGTTAGATCCTAATCATAGAATCATAGAATTATAGAGTTGGAAGAGACCTCATGGGCCATCCAGTCCAACCCCTTGCCAAGAAGTAGAAATATTGCATTCAAAGCACCCCCGACAGATGGCCATCCAGCCTCTGTTTAAAAGCTTCCAAAAAAAGAGCCTCCACCACACTCTGGGGCAGAGAGTTCCACTGCTGAACGGTTCTCGCAGTCAGGAAGTTCTTCCTCATGTTCAGATGGAACCTCCTCTCTTGTAGTTTGAAGCCATTGCTCCGCGTCCTAGTCTCCAGGGAAGCAGAAAACAATCTTGCTCCCTCCTCCCTGTGACTTCCTCTCACATATTTATACATGGCTATCATATCTCCTCTCAGCCTTCTCTTCTTCAGGTTAAACATGCCCATCTCTTTAAGTCGCTCTTCATAGAGCTTGTTCTCCAGACCCTTGATCATTTTAGTCACCCTCCTCTGGACACATTCCAGCTTGTCAATATCTCTCTTCAATTGTGGTGCCCAGAACTGGACACAATATTCCAGGTGTGGTCTAACCAAGACGGAATAGAGGGGTAGCATTACTTCCCTAGATCTAGATGCTATGCTCCTATTGATGCAGGCCAAAATCCCATTGGCTTTTTTTGCCGCCACATCATTGTTGGCACATGTTTAACTTGTTGTCCATGAGGACCCCGAGATCTTTTTCACATGTACTGCTTTCGAGCCAGGCGTCCCCCATTCTGTATCTTTGCATTTCATTTTTTCTGCCTAAGTGGAGTATTTTGCATTTGTCCCTTTTGAACTTCATTTTGTTAGTTTTGGCCCATCTCTCTAATCTGTCAAGATCATTTTGAATCCTGCCCCTGTCTTCTGGAGTATTGGCTATCCCTCTCAATTTGGTGTCATCTGCAAACTTGATGACCATGCCTTCTAACTCTTCATCCAAGTCATTAATAAAGGTGTCGAACAGGATCTTCACCAACCCTGACTACTGAAATTGTTGGGAATTTAAAACTTTGGGAAGAACACAGGTCCTGAATCTCCGTCTTGCACGAAAACATCCCTGTTTTAATAATGGACCCTTGTCAACATGGAAGAGGGTGTAGGTGGTTCATTCATAATGTGAATTGACATTCAGGCCAATGAAGATTTTATATTTACATTATAACAACAATTGCTTCAAGTGTTTATGTATCGCTCATTGGTTACCTTGTTTCACTTCCTCATGTTCTCAACGGGGTTGTTTTGTTTCTTTTTATTTTCTTAGGGCTGATGATGACTTCTCTGAGCCAGTGAATACAAACATTGTTTTGAGATATGATGGAAAAATTACTTGGGATGCGCCAGTTATAACCAAAAGTTCCTGTGTAGTGGATGTCTCTTACTTCCCTTTCGATAGCCAACAGTGCAATCTTACCTTTGGTTCTTGGACTTACAATGGTAATCAGGTAGATATATTCAATTCTTTAGACAGCGGCGACCTCTCCGACTTTATAGAAGACGTAGAATGGGAGATTCATGGCATGCCAGCTGTCAGGAATGTGATAACCTATGGCTGCTGCTCAGAGCCTTATCCAGATGTTACATTCACCCTGATTTTGAAAAGGAAGTCATCTTTCTACATTTTCAACCTGCTGCTTCCTTGCCTGTTGATCTCTTTTCTGGCTCCACTGGGATTCTACCTTCCAGCGGACTCTGGAGAAAAAGTATCTCTCGGAGTTACTGTTCTGCTGGCCCTCACTGTATTTCAGCTCATGGTTGCCGAAAGTATGCCTCCTTCTGAAAATGTACCCTTGATCGGTAGGTAATCACACACTACTCTGATGTTTTATAGACAGTGACAATATACTGTATATACTCGAGTATAAGCCTAGTTTTTCAGCCCCCTTTTTAGCCTGAAAAAGCTCCCCTCAGCTTATACTCAAGTCAAGGTTATTTATTATTTTACTCTGTTATTAGTATTATTTTTATTTCATATATTATTTTACTCTCTTTATTATTATTACATTTACAGTATTTTACCCCATTATTATTATTATTATTATTATTATTACATTTATTATTTTACACTATTTACGATTATTATTACAATTATTATTTTACTCTATTATTACTGTTATTGCATTTCCATTATTTTACTTTATTACCATTATTATATTTATTATTTTACTCTCTTTATTATTGTTAGAAGGATATGTAAGTACATTTACATTGAAGATATGTAATGATTTAGTCAGAGTTCGGCAGTCTTATCTCAAATTATAGTTTTATGTAAATATTAAAAAACATTTCACCTCCTGATGCCTCAATTAATGTAATTTACCTGTAGTGGCTGCATTTCCCACCCTCGGCTTATACTTGAGTCAATGTGTTTTCCCAGTTTTTTGTGGTAAAATTAGGTGTCTCGGCTTATATTTGGGTCGGCTTATACTCTAGTATATACAGTAATTGATCTATGAAGGCTCTTGAGGAATCTGAGGAAGAACCCAGCTCCTGGAATAAATGATGACTCAATGCTATTTACGACCTCTTCAGATGGGGTAAAAAATCAGCTGTATACTCCAGTTCCTCTTCAGTTATGTGACGGAGCCTACTGGCTCCCATCCCATGATGTACATCTCCTTCTAATGGGGGTCCATCATAAAAGGGAAAAGGAACTGGTGTATGCTGCCGCAGCAACAACATAAGAAACTTTCTGTGTTGCATTGGGATCAACGGGGGGAAGCCGAGTGGCGGATGGTTCCCCATGTAGGATGAGGTAAAGGGAAAGCCGAGCAATGTGGGGTGTGGGGTGATGTGTTTCCCCCACCGGGCACCACTGGATTCGCCACAATCCGTGGCAATTTCAGCTGCACATATGATGAGATATTTGAACACAAAGATGGTAAAAAATAACCTGTTGCAAAATTTAATTATAATTATGGATTATTTATTTATTTTGTATCAAAAGCATTGCTATAAATTAGTATAAAACTGATAAAAATAGAAAGAGTGCAACCGGCTAAATATCTTTTGACCAAAAACGGGCAACAGCAATGTCTGTAGCCTCCAATAATTGTTCCTCTGTACATAAGGCAGGGCATAGTGGACAAGTATACAGATGCAGAGTTGTCTGTTCTGTCACACAAGGTGTGGGATTCTTTTAGGTAGTACCATTTTGCCAGGTTGTTTTTTGATCTGCCCACTCCGCTTCTGAGTCTGTTCAGGGATTATGGATTTAGAAGGGACCACAACAGTCATGCAGTCCAGCACTTGGCCTGTATAAGCGGTCTACTGCCTATCATCCCTTGATAAGTAGCTATGCAACCTCTACTTAAGAGTCTCAGATTTAATAGAATTGACTGTCTTTTGAGGTAGTCTATTCCATTATCGAACAATGATATCATGAAGGTGTTTCTTCCAAATATTTAACTGAAAATCCCTTTCTACTTGTCTAATCCACAGGTTTAGGTCCTATGTTCTTAACTCAACAGGGGTTTATATATTTTTTGGACAATAGCTCCTAAAAATCCCTCAGTCAGCTTAGCTACCTTGACTATGTTGGGTGAGCTAGTTGTCCAAAACAAGCTAGTAGTTCAAAACATAACTTTTCCAAGCTTTTATGATCAACTCTGTGGACCACTTACTTTGATCATTTAAAGCAGTTCACAACAATCTCAACAAAACAATAAATGAATAGAGCTATTCTGTTTTTCCTGAAAAGCAAGGGGTTGGACTGGCTGTCTCAGTTGTCTCTTCCAAAGCTATTATTCTATGATTCTAACAACTCCATCAGACGGACCAAAAATTGGCAGGAATGCAGGTTCCTCTTCTGTTTTCTACAGAACCCACCAGCTCCCATCCCACAATGTACAGCTACTTCCATCGGGAATCTGTAGCAAAACTAAAGAGGAACAGTTGTATGGTGGCAACTCAGGAGGGTTGCTGTGTTGCATTAGCAACAATGGGGGGAAGCCGAGCAGCAGACACTTCCCTCCACGGTTTGGGGTTAGTGGTAAGCCGGGCAATGCGGGGCATGGGGCGATTGGCGATTCCAACAGCGGCAAATGTAAGTTAATGTTTGGAATATACTTCCCAGAATCTCTAAGTCAGGATGACCAATGGCCATGGCTGGCTGGAGGAGTCTGGAAGTTGTAGTAAAAAAAGGGTAAAGTTCCCAAGAGCTGAGTTGAAGGCCCTATCTACACTACCACATAAAATCCAGATTATCTGCTTTGGGTTATATGGCAGTGTAGACCCATATAATTTAGTTCAAGGAACTATAGCATTACACTTAATTCCCGGGCCCCCTAGAATTTTTGAGCTTGCACTAATCTCAGCCCAGCCTTTAAAACTGCCTTGAACAGGCAGGATTATTTTTAATATGTATGTGTAATGGCAACAATGTTTATGCTTATATTGTTTTGTTAGTCTTATGGTTATGTTGTTTACTCTGTATGTATTGATGATGTTACTTGGAAACTGCTCTGAGTACCCCCGGGTAGATAGAGCGGTATATAAATAAAGTATTATTATTATTATTATTATTATTATTATTATTATTATTAATTATGTATTAAGGAAGATATCTGCTTTGATAATCTGGATTGGTAGAATCCTCTGCTTAAGTTTATACTGTCCTTCTATCATGCCTCAGGATGAGAGAAACCAAATTTTGACAGCTTACTTGTGGATTCGACAAAGTTGGTATGATGCCTTTCTGAAATGGGACAAAGACCAATATGATGGGTTGGACTCTATTCAAACATGCATTTAATAATTAATTGGTTGAAGAGAGACTTTTAGTTGTGTTTCAGCCCTTGATTATGAGATTTTAGGTTATTTTGTTTTAGCCTTTCATAAGACACCTTGAGGTACATGATATGAGAAAGACAGAATAAGAGTTTTGTGACTGTTTCATATTCACAATTTTCACATATCCCCTAGTTTAGGAGATACATAGAGACCATGAAGGTTCCCTATTCCCCACTTACCAGATAGTAATGGTGGTCTGTTCCCCTGTTGCAAGTGATCTTTGGCACACAAGTGATATTTGCACCAGGATCCTTCTTTTGCCTATCTCACTGGAAATTGTTCATTCCAACGGATGGGAATGTCAATTAGCTGCTTCCCAAGTAAGGGGGGAACAGATCCCTGTCAACTGCAGTGGCTGCTACCCAATAAATGCAGATTGAGGGGACCAGAATGGGATTCACTTTAAGTATTTATGCATTCCTTACTCTAACCCAACAGGTTAGAGTGAGGAACCAGTTTTTGTGTATACTGTTGTGTTGTGATTTTTCATGCACAGCTTAATATGGCTTCTGTTTGAATCAACACTGTAGGTAAATACTACATCGCCACAATGACAATGATCACAGCCTCCACAGCACTGACAATCATCATCATGAATATTCATTACTGTGGATCAGGAGCGAAACCTGTCCCACACTGGGCAAGGGTTGTGATTTTAGACTACATGTCCAAGATCTTTTTTGTTTATGATGTTGGTGAAAATTGCACAAGTTCACAGCATGCAAAAGAACAAGACCTAAGCTTGAAAAAACCAAATACATCCCTCAAAGAGCCAGTACAATATGAAGGGGGAAGGCAACCATTGGCTAAGATCAGAAACCATGACAGCACCCTGAAGAAGAAGTTTCCAGAAGATGTAAGCAATTGCTTTGATATCCAAGGTGAAAATAGTCGGGATATTGTGAGCTGCTGCTCCTGCTACCGGATACTGATTAAGAATATTGAATATATTGCTAACTGTGTGAGACGCCAGAAAGCAAACCATGCAAAAGGGGTAGAGTGGAAAAAGGTCGCCAAAGTGATGGACCGATTCTTCATGTGGATTTTTTTTATAATGGTCTTTTTCATGAGTGTTTTGGTTATGGGCAAAGCTCTTTAATGGGCAATATATATCCGGGCTCTGGCTGGACCACTAGAAGTTTTACTGCAAACTTTAGCAAGGGTTTCAAAAAATTACTTTTTGGGGAGAATTACTGTATCACTAATCAGTTTAGCCAGTGGAATTATGGGCGGAGGATTCCTGGACCTATATGCTCAAAAAATAGAATATCAATTTTTTCCTCTTTGAAATTGTAATGGTATTTCTTTTTTAAAAAACTGATCTTTGAAATGTGTATTTCAATTCTTCTTAATAAATTAACAACAACAACAACAACAACACTTTATTTATATTCTGCCCTATCTCCCCAAGGGGCCTCTGAGAGTATTATACAAACACAAACACAGCTAAACATTCAATGTCTTGATACAATTAACAGAAATACCAATACAAGATGCACCAGAACTGGCAACAATGCTAATTTCTACCAATAAATGAGATAATAGAAGTGCCACGTTTGCTGAGAGCATTTTGATGAATTAATATCAAAGCTGTATGCTAGTGCATGCAGGTTATAGTGGAAAATAATAATAATAATAACAATAATAATAATAATCTTTATTTATATCCTGCCACTATCTCCCCGATGGGGACTCGGAGCGGCTTACATGAGGCGAAGTCCAAACAACAAATTACAACACAGTAAAACCGAAAACCGAAAATTTTGATGAATTAATATCAAAGCTGTATGCTAGTACATGCAGGTTATAGTGGAAAATAATAATAATAATAACAATAATAATAATAATCTTTATTTATATCCTGCCACTATCTCCCCGATGGGGACTCGAAGCGGCTTACATGAGGCGAAGTCCAAACAACAAATTACAACACAGTAAAACCGAAAACGCAATATTAACTGGATTTCGATTTTTAGACACTAAAGCTTAGAAGAGTATCCTCAAATATTCAGTTACTTAGTTATGAATGTCTGCCTAAGGACATAGACTGTGACCACAGAGATTTACATATCAATATAAGCAGTCCCTGAGTTACAAATATCAGACTTACAAACAACTCATAGTTAAGAACAGGGGCGAGACAACAGGAAGTGAGAGAAATCTACCCCTCAGAAGAAAGAGTTATCATGGGTAAAAGGTTCTGAACTGAAGCTTTATTACCAATCCTTGTTTCTACAAGATGAATTTTTCTACAAGATGAACCTTCTACCACATGCAGGTCATGCAAAAAAGCAAAAAAAAAATTGGAAGAAAATACATGAAAATATACAAAAAAAATTAAAAATTAAGATACCAATGAAGCCAGAGATATTCTTATTAGGAATAAATGAACAAAAATTAGATAGCAATATAGACAAACTCCTCTTTTTAGCAACAACAGCTGCAAGAATATGTTACGTGAAAATATGGAGAAAAACGGATATACCCAAATTGGAAGATTGGAATAAAAAAATTATGGACATAATGTCTTTCCCCCACTTTCCAGTGCTACCCAACTTCTCAAAACATATGCTGGGCTCCATTACCTTGGGCTGCAGAAACAGAGTCCCAGTGGAAATATCTTTATGTCATGTGATGTCCTCCGCAGGAATCTGTTACCAAAGCACATGGAAATGGAGCCCAGAATGCATGGGATGAGGTCCTAAGATTATAAACCCAGGAACCCCCATAGGATGTACAGTGGGTAAGCTGGCTCCATCTTCTAGACGTTGTGGCTTAAACAGGGCCGGCTCATCCATTACGCGAAGTAAGCGGTTGCAGAACACTTTTTTTGCCAGGGGCGCAGAAGCACCTCTGTAAATGCCCCTCGACTGCCACTTGAAGAGCGCCCCCTCAGCTCACAACATCCCTAGCAGTCCAGGGGGAGCCTCAGCTTTCTTGTCTCGCTGCTGGGCGATCCTCTTCCCAAAGGGGCCGGGCCCTTGAGCCTCACCTTGTCCCTCTCATTCCTGCTCCACCTGGCCACCGGGTGCGCGAGCAGAGCCGGCGCTCAATCATTCTCCGCATTCGATCCCTTCCCCATGACCGGCTCCCTTTCCCGATCCCCTGGTGCTCCACCTGCCTCCTCTCCTCTCCCCAATCCGCGGGTGGGCCAAGGGGCGGAGCCGCCACACCTGGCCCACTTTGGGTCCGGAGGCGTGTCTGAAGACCCCAGCGTGCACACCAAAAGTCGCCTCTTCTCCTGACTTTCTCTTCAGCCATTGGGACCAAGAGAGAGAGAGAGAGAGAGCCCCTCCGGCTGGAGGTATCTCCCACCTCCGCTCCTCCTTTGTTTTTGCGCCTACCTTCAGGAAAGGTGGGCATCTCCACCTCTCTCTCTCTCTCTCTCTGGTCCCAATGGCTGAGGAGAAAGTCAGGAGAAGAGGTGACATTTGGTGCACACGCCGGGGTCTTCAGGCACGCCTCCGGACCCAAAGCGGGCCAGGCAAGGGAGCAAGTGCGGCAAGTGTAGTTACTGGGATGTATAGTTCACCTACAATCAAAGAGCATTCTGAACTTGAACCAAATATGGAACACAGACAAACAGAAAATATATATCAATGATTGGTTGGGGGGGGGGGGCAAAATACTGTTTGCTTACTGTTGAAAATTACCTAGGGCTGCCTCTGGGCTTAAACAGTATATTTTCCAAGTTCTGGAAATTGGAAAGCATCCAATTGTGCCAAGTGAATTACCAGTGGTTGTTTTGGAAATCCTGATACAGGATCCAGACAGAGGCAGGGTGGCACCGAAAAGAGATCCCAGTCAAAAGGTCATGGAACGAAACTCATTTTCATAATTGCTGCAGCTAATAGGTTGCACTCCGGTGAGACCGCAATTTAAGACACCATGGAATAGCTATACCTTTGTCATTGTCCTTTTCCCCCTTGCCCCAAAAACTTTATGGAAGCAAGATGATCTAGATGATCATATAAATGATACATAGAATTCTTAATGGCTGGTTGTGCCTTTTGTGTAGGCTGATTAAAGATGTAACTGTATCAGGACTTTCATGCATAATGCAAGCTTCAAAGGCCAGGTCTAATGTTAAGACAGCACACAGCTGAGGGCCACATTGAGTGCAAATTCATCAGTTACAAGGGGCTGAGGAAAATGTTCACTTCTCATTCCAACAAAGGAACACAAAGTTTGCAACAATATGAATGGCATCTGCTACCAGAAGTGGAAGTGGAAAGAAAATATTAGATTGTCTTGAAGCCAGCTTCTCTAAATTACACCCCTATATTCTATAGTAAAGGTAAAGGTTTTCCCCTGACATTATTTATTTATTTTATTTATTTACAGTATTTGTATACCGCCCCTCTCAGCCTTCTGGCAACTCGAGGCAGTTTTCAAGGCAAAATTTAATACCACCAAAAACACAGTTACAATATAAAAACATTAACATCAGTAAAATTATAACAGCTGTAATAAAACATAATTCAAAAAATACTCATTAAAACAATGTCCAATCCATCTTGTAGTTGATTCCGTTCTTATGTCCGTTACTCAGTATTCGCAAATGCCTGCTTGAATATCCATGTCTTGAGTTTTTTCCGAAATGCTAAAAACGAAGAAGCCGATCTAATCTCCATAGGAAGGGCGTTCCATAGCCGAGGGGGCACCACTGAGAAGGTCCTGTCTCTCATCCTCGCCAGCCGTGCTTGTGATGATGGCGGAACCGAGAGCAGGGCCTCTCTAGATGATTTTAAGGTCCTCGAAGGTTCATAAGGGGAGATGCGTTCGGACAGGTAAGTTGGGCCAGAACCGTTTAGGGCTTTATAGGCCAGGGCCAGCACTTTGAATTGTGCTTGGTAGCAGACTGGCAGCCAGTGGAGCTGGCGCAACAGGGGGGTTGTATGCTCCCTGAGAGCCGCTCCTGTTAGCAACCTGGCTGTCGTCCGTTGGACCAGTTGAAGCTTCTGGACAGTCTTCAAAGGCAACCCCACGTAGAGAGTGTTGCAGTAGTCTATACGGGATGTAACAAGAGCGTGGACTACCGTGGCCAAGTCAGACTTCCCAAGGTACAGGCGCAGCTGGCGTACAAGCTTTAACTGTGCGAATGCTCTCCTGGTCACCGCAGAAACCTGAGGTTCCAGGCTCAGAGAGGAGTCTAGGATCACACCCAAGCTGCGAACCTGTGTCTTCAGGGGGAGTGTGACCCCATCCAACACAGGATGTAGTCCTATGCCCTGTTTGGCCTTGCGACTGACCAGGAGTACCTCTGTCTTGTCTGGATTCAATTTCAATTTGTTAGCCCTCATCCAGAACGTCACAGCAGCCAAGCATCGGTTCAGGACCTGAGCAGCCTCAGTAGCAGGTGGAAAGGAGTCACAGAGTTGGACATCATCTGCGTACAGATGACACCGCACCCCGAAACTCCGGATGATCTCCCCCAGTGGCTTCATGTATATGTTGTACATTAAGTCCAGTCGTGTCTGACTCTCGGGGTTGGTGCTCATCTTCTAAGCCGAATTGCTAGCGTTGTCCAAGGCCATGTGGCCGGCATGACTGCATGGACCGCTGTTACCTTCCCACCAAAGCGGTACCTATTGATCTACTCACATTTGCATGTTTTCGAACTGCTAGGTTGGCGGAAGCTGGGGTTAACAGCGGGAGCGCACGCAACTCCCCGGATTTGAATCTGCGACCTTTCAATCAGCAAGTTCAGCAGCTCAGCGGTTAAACCCACTGTGCCACCGGGGCCATCTATATTCTATATCAGGGATCTTCAAACTTTTTAAACAGAGGGCCAGGTCACAGTCCCTCAAACTGTTGGAGGGCTGGATTACAATTTGAAAAAAACATGAATTCCTATGCATACTGCACACATCTTATTTGTAGTGTAAATACACTTAAACAATACAATAATTAAAATGAAGAGCAATTTTACCAAATATAAACTTATTAATATTTCAATGAGAAGTGTGGGCCCGCTTTTGGCTGATGAGATCAGAATGTTGTTGTGTGCTTTCAAGTTGTTTCAGATTTAGGTTGACCCTGAGCGAGGGCCGGGTAAATGTCCTTGGAGGGCCGTATCTGGCCCTTAGGACTTAGTTTGAAGACCCCTATGTTGATGTAAAAGACTGACCACCCATTACTTCTGTATATCACTTGAATGTATCAGTGCTTCCTCAC